CGTACACATAAAAATATACTGTCGTAAAATGCACGAATTTGTGGTTTTAACGACGCCATGAAACCGTTTTATGAATGCAGCTAAAAGGATTTTCCGTTTATGCAGTTTTTAGATTTGTTTTCGATTTAGTCTCACTTGCTGCACTGAACGGTGCTAATGAATTTCTAGTGCTAACGAATAAGGCAAGCGGTTTTCCAAGAGTTGCTTCTGCTGAGGTGAAATATTTCGTCCGGATTTTGCAGGCCCACAAGATGCAAACTATTCGACAGTTTGTGATTGTGCGTCGACCGCTGGGACCAGCTTAATTGAACTTCACCAATAGTTGGAACTTCGAAAAGTTTTGAGCACTCGATGATAAACCCCAAGATATTGACTGGTTATTTGTTCGATTTGAAAGTTTATGGAATAGTTTCTTAAGTATGTCGCCGTATTTCTTATATAATGTCTCGTTTCGTATATTTTTGTTGTTAAAAAAATAGATTATGATTTTTATTGCCCTCTCAATAGTAAGCAATATGGGTAGTAGAGTTGGGAAAACAATTTTCTATCCTTTTAGGATGACCAATTACTTCACAACGCCATTCTTTACGTAGTGTTTTTGACAATTATGTGTCAGTTTTCATAGAACTTGAAGTATTTCTAAATGACCTGTCCTTCGATGCCTTTTCGTATAATTTTAGTTTTCATTTTCCGGAAAAAAGGTTGTACGTTAGTGCGTCATCCAAAAATTAAAAATGAATTAATAATGAAATTAAAGCGTCTAGTGATCATCTAAAAAATCAGCTTCTTTTTAAGCAGTGCAATTCACTATTGAACAGAGTCCCGGAAGAAACATAAAAAAATTCTTTCTGAAACTAAAAAGCTTTCTATCAGCGGCAAATTTGGTATTCTGTTGATCCTTATATTGCTGCTTTGAGGGTGATTTCGGAGTTGTCGAATGATTCACGGTCCAGTGTTGAGAATTTTAATTTAATGAATAAGCAGAGTAATAAAATCGAGAATGAGCCTAATATTGCGGCATCTGTATTTAATAGCGTTTTATAGATGCTTCAAAAAATATTGTTAGTTCAATAAAAAAAGTATTGGTCTGAGTTTTATTAGGGACGTTAATGACGTTAATATATTAACTTTTATGGAGGATGGGATACCAACTTTTTTATTAAAAACAGTACTGAGTTTGATAATAGGTCTGCTAACATTCTTGATGAATCTATCTTTTCAAAGTGGGACATTCCCATCGTGTCTAAACAGAAGAACTATCGGCCGGTAACAATTTCAAATAGTTTTTCTGAAGTGTTTGAGTATGCTTTCAGATAGAGGTTAATATTTTTCATATCATATTTTTATAGATAACCAACATGGTTTCAGAAAATATACAAGCACTTCAACTGCTGCTTGTTCGTATTTCCGTAGGATAATTTCTTTTATCGAGGACATTGGGTGCCCGGTTGGATTTTTTTACGACCTAAGTCGGGCGTTTGACTGTGTTGATTTTAAAGAACTTGGGGGGCACGCTTTGGGTATAAGGGGTACGCCTCTAGACTGGATCAGTAGTTTTTTAGGAAATCGTTCTCAATTTGTATCCCTGAAGTTTTATAACGGTAAGAGAATGGAAAGTGTAAATTCAGCTAGTCAACGCATCGAGATAGATGTCCCTCAAGGTTCAGTTTTCGGTCTACTTAGGCAATACTTTTCATATTATATGTAAATTATATATTGAAAATTTTATGCGGATTTATATGCGGATGATCTTTCCTTGGCTCCTCTCAGAGAAGTGCTGTGGGGTACTCGATAGATTGATGACATGGTTTGGGAAAATTAATCTCATCATAATTATCAGAACCAATGTGATAATTTTAATATCTGTTTAGGCAATGACACTATCGCGAGTAGGGATACTGGGATGTTTCTAGAAATGAGTTTGGATGAATGTTTATACTTGAAGTCTCATTGTGATACTCTGGTTTCAACTCTAAATAGTGTAAATTATGTCTTTATAAATCTTCGTGAGATTCTAACAAGGCAACAGTTGCTTAATTTATACTATACGAAGGTGGAGTCCCGATTACGTTATGGGATCAATTTGTGGAGAGCATCTGTAACTGCCGATAAAGTATTTTTGGCTCAAAAACATATATTAAGGAGTATTGCGCATATTTCCAAGTTATCTCACACTAGCGACTCTATTCATTTTTGAAATGTCATTGTATGACTTTAACAATTTATCGAATTTTAAGTTAGTTGAACCTTTTCTATTTAAAAAACGACTACATATATTTTTGGTATCCAAAACATTTTATAGTCGAATTTTTTGCTTTTTTATATGTCTATGTATATTGTTCCTATGAAGCATTTTGACTATTCCTATACAATTTTGTAGTGGTCTTCGGAAAAATAGATATTATTATTATCATTATTATGAATTTCAAAGTCGTATTTTATTGATTATTGTCGTTTTATTAACTCTGATTGAATTGAGTTAAATTAAAACAAAATTTCTTAATACAAGTTATGGACCTAGATACTGGGCGATATATAAGAGGGCAGCGCCAAAATTTCCCGGCCGGAATATGAAGGAAACAAAGTAAAGTAACAATTTTTTAACTTCAATACACTTATTACATCTCTTTATTAACAACTCAATCCCTTTGTCTGCAAAATGAGCTAAAACAGCCTCTTTTAACTCAACTTCGCCTTCCATGTAAGTCCTTTTTTAAATATCCAAACAAACAATAGGTGCTGGGGGCCATATCTGGACTATAGAGATGATGATCTATGTTTTGGAACCCACACTCTAAAATGGTAACTTGTGCAACACCAGCAGTATGGACAGGTGCAAAAGACGCACGCCTCTGGTCAGTTTTCCCCGACGTTTTACACGTATGCAGTCTCACAATTTATGTAATAATGTTGCGTAATATTTAAAATCTATCAAAAGAATTCCTTCACAATCCCAAAAGATCGTGACCATCACCTTTTTTGTTGACGGGCAAACTCTGAATTTTCTTGGAGGTGCTTCACCCTTACGACGCCACTCCATTGATTCTTTTTTCGATAGAGGGTCATAATAGAGAACCATAGTTTCATCTCCCGTCACAATAATTTCTATCACAGGCTTCGGTTCCGACCCACGGAGTTCCAAAAAAGACCGCGCACACCCGACACGGCGTTGTTTTTGAATAGCCGAAAGGTTTTTAGGAACCCATCTTGCACTAACCTTATGCATACCTAAATGATCATGCGGGATTCGATGAGCACTTGTATCAGAAAGCTTAGTAATTTCTGAGATTTCCGTGACCTTTAAACGTCGATCACACAATACCATTCTTTCACTACAGAATACGAAGAACTTTGGTCGTACACACCATCTAGCCTTTCTTTACTGATTTTAGGTGCTAACCATTCTTTTGTCAAAAACTTTATGACTGCTCTATACTCAATTTGCATTATTTGCGACATTTTCTCGGACAAGTCTTGTTTAAAATGCTGTCAATAAAAAACTGTTTGACGCAAGACTTCAATTTTTTATTGCAGCTTACTAAGATATATATTTAAATATTTAAAAGAATACAAAGTTTTATCGTGATACTGGAGCTGCATCTATGTCAGGCCGGAAAAATTTTGCCGCTAACCTCTTATTTGCTATATCCACTTGTCACTGATTTGCTACGAAAAAATTATTGAAACATTTTGGAATCAGTCCAAGATTGTCACAGACAAAGTAAACAATTAAAAACGAGAGACACGAAAAAGTATCTTTTGTTATTTGCAGCTTTTCGGCTAATGATAATTTACTATATTTTCCGTTTTAAAAATTTCCCATACTTTTCAAAAATATTTTCAGACTATTTAAAAACTAACCAAAACTGTCGAAACTAAAATGTGCCTTTTGTCAAGCTAATTGTAAATTAAATGAAAGTAAGCATATTCGATATAAAATGGTTTGAATTTCATCAATTGTCTATAAAGAATTTTTTGTGTGTATTTTTAATGTTATTTTTAAGTTATGTAAAGCCAGCATGCTGCGGCAAAGAAATAATTTCAGTGACAATCAATCGCTTCCTTATAGATTTCCTCGTCCTTTTGATACCATTTCTCAATCAGTTCTTTTAATTGGATGATGATGTAATAATCGAGAGAAGATATCCCGTCTCTGTCAAGTACCAATTTATTAAAAGAAACGAGAATTGGAATTCGCCCACGGTCTATCTAAACAACGAAGTTGCATATAGTATTAAGGGCGCATTTGTCCTTTTGCGAATTTTGTTTTATATTTGCTATTTTCGCCGCAATGGATATAAATGGCAGCGGATAAATGTAAATCTACAACTTGGAATAGACTGCGGTCAACCCTCTTAAAACTTCTTTTATTTTACCATTTATTTTCCATACTCCATTTGGGTTGCTTAAGAATTTATTCTTACGAGGCACTTGGGACAGTTCGTTTCTACTATTTCCAAGTTCTATTTAAAACGTTTAGGATTTCGTTAGGAACCTGTCTTTAAGAGGTTGCAAAATACTTAATTCTAAGGATTGAATAATTGATTGAAACACTGTCTTTGTTTATTGCAGAAAATCTAAAGATCGTTTTTAGCAATGTGCTATATATATTATATATACTATATAATTATCAGTTCATTTGCTAATGGCATAACGCTGACATCCTTGAGACAAAGGATACGGCTGTCCTAATATCATAATCGATGGTTACCAGATGGTCGATTAACCTATTATTAGAAGTTAGAGCTATTATATAATTACAAACCATACAGCGCTCTGCCATAACATTCAAATTGTCAACACATGGCGAGATTAGAAATTTATACAAATTAATAACAGGCAAAGAAATAGAAATGTTGCAACTTGTTCCTTTTAATGCCTCCAGTCTATAAGCGTATTAAAAAGCTGTAGGTGTACTAAAAAATGGAATATTAATTTCCTTTTTTATTAAATTTTATATTAGACTAGTTCCTAGTTTCTACTATTTCCCTCTGTTTCAGGTGTGATTGGCACGATGCATCAAAACAAGCGCCCAGACGTGGCAGACCTCTGACAATTATCTACTTTGGATGTTTTATTATATTTTCTCGCATTTGTTAAAGAACCGAGCAAAAATGGGCGAAGAAGTGCACAGGATCGACAACAATACGCTTAACGAAGTACTAAATAGAAGCAACGAAGTAGATCCGAAACTTTACGACAGATATCTAACGAACCAAGCCATTGATGAGCCGGCGTATACAACTCTCATAGTCATGTATTGTTTCCTTATTGTGATGGGAGCCTTGGGAAACACACTTGTCGTAAGTAATAAAACTTATGTCTACGTCAATTTGTTTGTGTTTTCGAAAATGTTATCGTGTAGTAGATTTCTACTCTACTCACATTTTGATTTGACTGGTGATGAGGGCGATGTTTTCAAAATGCACTTAACTAAGCACAATTTTATGTTATTAATAGTTTATTGGGCTTTTTCCAAATAGTTATTGATAGAAACTAACCAAAAATTCATATAATTACATTTTATTATTTATCGTTTTATTAATCTTTATATGGTATCTGATGTCTTTGGAAAAATACACCTTTTCTATAGAAGAACGTCCTATTTAAATATGTCATACTTTACCCACCAATGTGAGAATTCATTTTACTCTTGAGATTTTCTCTCAATTTTCAATCCATTTTTGATTTTTTTGCCTGAAAAGACTTTATGTTGTGGCTTGCAATTTTTTGGTATTTGGATATATCTCCAAAAGTTTCAGGAAAATTTTATCCCTTACATTCGCTTATAATCATTTAAAACTTTGTGTGATCATTTGATTTACACAAAAACCTTTTCAATATTTTTATTATTTGACTTTGATTGTGTACTTTAAATGATTTTGTGCAATTTAAAAAATTAGAGAAAAATTGGTATGGGATTACTTAAACGTTTTACTCTTAGCAATACATTTGGATATTGGAAGGTTCATTTTTGATATTATTAAGGCTGCAGATAGAAGGATAAAAATATACATTGTGATAAAGAGAGATTTACATTTTTTGCCATCCTTTATGTACAAGGTGGCCACTTTATCAATGGGTAGTATGGGTAATTTTTGAATAAACCACAGGGTCGATTAAATAGAATAAGAGCATAACTCAATAAGGTTACCCGAATAAATTTATTTTATTTTGGTTTTGGTTGGGTTTATTTGGTTTGGTTATTTTGGTTTGGTTAGTTTATATTGGGAGGAGGGAAAGAGGGAAGAAATAAAGAAAGTGGTTATGGAAGCAAAAGATCATAAGGCTACAGGACCAGATGGTATACCAGGGGAGGTTTTGAAACTGATAGATGACGACAATATCGACGTATTGCTCAAAATTCAAAAAATTCAATTATATCTACAATACAGGACACTTTCCCCGAAGCTGGTTAAGATCAACTTTTATACCCCTACCCAAGAAAAGCAACGCCCGAAAGTGCAAAGATCATAGACTCATAAGTCTGATGAACCACTCCTTAAAAATTTTCCTCAAAATAATACACAGGAGAATACAGCACAGATGCGAGTAAATTATCGGCCCTAGCCAGTTTGGATTCAAATCAGGTATGGGAACACGTGAGGCGCTTTTCGGACTCCAAGTCTTAATACAAAACTGTCTAGATGTTAATAAGGACATATTTCTATGTTTCGTCGACTATGAAAAAGCTTTCGATCGTGTACAGCATTCAAAACTCATGCAGATTTTGAGAAAAACCGACGTCGACGACAAGGACATAAGGTGTATCGAGAGATTGTACTGGGGTCAAACAGCTAATATTACCATACAAAACATTATTACTGAAGATATTGATATCCGGAGAGGAGTTAGACAGGGATGCGTCTTGTCTCCATTGCTTTATAATTTATACTCCGGATACTTAGGATGTTGGCTGCATGCAGGATGGAACTCGGAAAAAGAGATTAGGTGCAGAACAGAGATGGCACGTGCGGCATTCATGAGATATGAAAAAATCCTTAGAAATCGAGACCTGCACCTGTCTCTTCGAATCCGATATGCAAAATGCTATGTTTGGTCGGTACTTTTGTACGGAGTGGAGGCATGGACTGTGAATGCAAAAATGATCAACAGAGTGGAAGCCTTCGAAATGTGGACCTACCGACGTCTTCTGAGAGTCCCGTGGACGGACAGAGTAACTAACGACGAAGTACTAAGAAGAGTTCATAAGAACAGAGAACTACTTACAGCCGTAAAACGCAGGAAGACGGCCTACCTCGGACACATTTTTAGACATGATAGGTATCAGCTGTTACAACTCATATTAGAGGGTAAAATGGATGGCAAGAGAGGAATAGGAAGGAAACAGATGTCATGGGCAAGGAACATTAGACAATGGACAGGTCTAAAAACAATTGGGGAACTTGTCAACGCGGCAAGAGATAGAGACCAATTTCAGCGTGTGGTCGCCAACATCCATTAAGTGGATAGGCAGCGTGATGATGAGTTTATATTGGTTAGTAAAGGTAAATGAATTTTATTAATCATATGTTTCTTTTTTAAAATTTAAGTTAAAGCTTCAACTTTTAATTGTTTTTATTTCTAGAAAACTAGTAACAATAAACATGTGACTACCACATGTTTTCCAAAAATACATGAAATTTCAATTTTTGTAGTAATAGTTGAAAGCGAATTGTGTAACTTTTTTTTGTAAAATTGGAATAATCTTACTGGCAACGAAATACTAAAATGAAATGCGTTAGTTTTTTCAAAATATTTCTTAGTCCAACTCTGTTGCAAGTTTTATTCCATTTAACCGACGCTGTAAATTTAATTTTGCAAAAATAACCCATAAATCCCATTGAAAAACTGGCCAGCCTTTATGGAAAACCTATTGTCATTACTTTTTTAGTGTGGCACAAAATACAGGTTTTTATACGACCACACTGCACTGCATCTGCACTGCATTTTCCTCCAGTTATCCAAACCCAACAGCCGGATAATGCTATACAATGCACAATAAATTGTAAAATATTCGGTGCCAATGATAAACAAAAAGTCATACATATTCAATGGCAAAACTAAAAACCTACAATAAATTTTACAGTTTTTGATGCTTTCGCACCTTTTTAAATGGAACGCGTCCAATCAACCGAAGAGTTAAATTAACGTGCAAAAATATGGCGTTTGACTGTTGCAAACTCTGCGGGTGTGGCGAACGCGTTTTACCTCATTTTTGTCCTGAAAATTGGAACACGTATAAAGCTTCTAATTTTATCTTGCCGTCATACAAAAAAAGACCACTTTTTTATAAATTGATAATAATAATAACCCTACATAATGGTAGACACCAGTATTTGTGTCAGATAAGGCTCAAGTAGAAATGATCTTTCGTTATCAAATACCTTTGAGAATGCAGTAACCAATCATGCGTATTTGAAAACGTATTATCTCTGTTAGATGAAGTAAAGGTAAAGCAACTCCAAAATTGATTCTGATCCAATTAGGTCTATTGAGGAGGATTTACGGAGGATGGCATATAGCTTTGGTTGTTTCCCGCTACGTCTTTACTTTATTCTTTTTCCTTATCACGCTTAGTTGCGTTGTGAGATTCCAAAACTGATTCTGAGGTCATGTCATGGATCGCGGATCACTGCGTGTCACTTGATTGTGGATAGAGAGAATTTTTTTGACCTTTTTCTTCTATATTTGCTGTTGTTATCTGGTATATCATATTTCGTGCATGACAATTTTTGCAGATTTCAGTGAATATGAATGCGTGAAGTAAAGGTAAAGTCCAAGAATTTCTTTAATTGCTAAAGGCAATGTCCCTTCTTGATAACGACAGGATAACGTTGTTAAAAAAGCAGCAATCAATCATTCATAATGGTAAATGCTGTATCTCTCTTAGATGAAGTAAAGGTGACATCGAAGAATGTGCTCTGAGGCTTTTTTCTGCCTCCATTATGGTTATCTTTGGAAGAATATTATCAGCCAACCTCAGCGACTCATTTGAAAAAGCTTAATTGTTGTGTATTACTCTTATATGACATAATAACTTTCACTAATCAATATTTCAAGCATAGATCAAGATTTATTATGTCGCACACACGAAAACCAACTACTGTAACACCTAATTGTGCTCTCCAATTTTAGGAGTGCTAGTGAAACATATCCCTAGATTATAGAAAATGTCCTTTGAATGCACTATTTGCGCTAAGTATAAAAATTGTTCATAAATCCCCTAGTAACTCTTGAAACTTGTTTTCTAAGGAATTTCTAAAGCTTTCTTAGTCTCGGCATTAGTGGCATATCTGAGCGCCATTTCTGGGATTTTGTTCTACTCATTTTCTGATGACTGTTTTTCCCGAAAAAGATTCTGGAACGATTAGGATTGTTGCTTAGTCTATTATATCTTTCGTGTAGGCCAATTTTTGTGCATTTGCGTTAACTTTTCGCGTTCCCCTTTAAAGGACAAAATCGAAATTCGGATTCGCGAAAGCGCTTCGAAAATCCAGCCACGAAATTCCAATTTCTCTCGGATATAAAATATTTTCCTGGGCTGGCAGTGGTTACGCGCCATACATAACATCGGCAAACAGCATCTCCGGTTTTGGACACTCGGTGCTCTTATTTTCTACGTTTTTACATTTACGAACACAAAAATTTTGCATCGGATTTATTTGAAGTCGCTTCCAATTGTAACTGGCGTTGTATTTCTAAATTTAAAGTATTTCAAACAAGGGATAAGCACACGCAAAGTTGTTGTTTCAATAGCAGGAAGCTCGCGATGGCGTAAAAGTTTTACAGCGACAGATCGGGTCTTTTTCTTCGAAATGAAAGTAGAATCAACCAGTTCAATGTACTTTTTACGGGTTGCCTCACTTTGGTTAACGAATGGTCTGCATTCTGTCCGAATTTACCATATTTTAAATTGTTCATCTCAAGTGATATATTCGGGGAACGAAAGCATCGAGAATTTAGGGAGTTAAGGTTGCGGAAACAATCTTGTGGCCCCACATCAGAGCTTATCCGCATTCGATGGGATTCATTTGTTAAAGCGTTGCTGCACAAACTGCCATTTGCTCGGGGTTTTCAACAAAATGAATATTCCGACTTTGGCAAGAATTAACAGCGACGCTTGAGAAGTAAGTTCATTCTACACTCAGTGTATATTATAAATCTCTAGTTGAAACCTTTTCTATGCATAATAATTAAGTATATTCATTTCTTTACATTACCAAGACCGTTTAAATGAGAACGTCGATAAACAAGAACAACTCTCTAATAATATTAATAAATATTTTCCTCTTAAGCGAATTAGTAACACTAAACACGACAGTAAATATTTTATGTGACGCAAAAAAGAAGATCCTACTTTTAGCGATATCTATAAGACTCTTAAAACCAACCAAGTAAAGGAAATTGCTCTTGCCAAAAAACAGACATTTGGTACTTTTAGCAATTAATAAATATAATAATAATAATGAAGATTAATAAATTATGAAATAAAAAACTGTTATTCAAAAACCTAACTATTTTAACTTTGATTGTGAGCAATTTAACCTCTACTTTACTAGGGTGGCTGAAAATATTATTGATAAAATTCTTGATTCGCCCTCGACTCATTCCTTTGAAGTTAATGATACAATCTACGCAGGAAATTTTTCTGAATTTCCTTTCATTACAATGATATGGTAATGAATATAATCAATACCCTGTTTAGAAAACTCAACAAGTCAAGGCGTTTTTAATATTAATAGTAGGATAATAAAATATTCTAAGCACACTTTAGTGCCTTTATTGTTACATATATCCAACGTTTCTGCCACATTTCCAGATCAGTTTCAGACCTGTTTCTATAGTCCCTATTTTCAGAAAAAAATTCGAAATTATCCTAAAAGAATTATTATTAGATTATTTATTAAGTATATAATTTTTGCGATGATCAGTGGGGATTCCTGCCTGCAAAATTTACAACACATGCAGTTCGAAAGGTAGTGTCAGAGATCGTTAATGGTCTAGAAGGTGGCGATCATGTGTTACTGCCCCTTTATGATATTTCTAAAGCGTTTCATTGTGTCAATCATGTACTATTATTTTTTGCGTTCTTCTAAACCGCAATGATTCATCTAGTTTAAATCTACAAAATGGATTGAACTGATGTGGCTTTTACTGGATGAAAATCCATTTATCAAAATAAATAAGAACTAAAAGTTCAGATTTTCAAGAAAATTATATATTTTTACATGACAATTGTTTCGACAACACCGTGTCTTTATCAAATGTGATATTTACAAACCACTTGCTACTATATATATACCGAAAAATGACCATAAAACCTTTGTTAATGTTTTGAGAATTTAAGTTAAATAAAGAAAAAGTGTTTAAATCTAATGTATGTATGTAAAATATCAAAAAAAATATCCAAATTGTCGTCAAAAATGTGTTTTTCATTTCACATTTCACATTTTTAACGTAGATTGTGATATTTTACATACAGTCACAAAAAGTAGAAAATTAAATTTATTGGAGGCCATAGAGATTAACAAAATGAGACATTCAAAAAATTTACGATTAGTTAGATTTAAACACCTTTCCTCTATTTAACTTAAATTCTCACAACTACATTAACAAAGGTTTTATGGTCATTTTTCAGTATATATAGTAGCAGGTAGTTTGTAAATATTACATTTGATAAAGACACGGTGTTGTCGAAACAATGGTCATATATAATTTCGTGAAAAACTGAACTTTTAGTTCTTATTTATTTTGCTAAAATATGGAGTTCCTCAAGGGTCTGTCCTAGGGCCACTTTTCTTCATTATTAACATAAACGAGTTCCCCTTAAGCATTAGTCCCATCAGATTAGATGAGCTAACGTATGGGGTTGAGCTGAAGGCTCAGTCTTGGTTTTCGTGTAACAATTAATTTACAAATAATCATAAAACACAAAAACTTCTAATTCCAACGAATGTACTAAGGGTGATAGCGTCACTCTCCTTGGTGTCGCCTTGGACGATAATCATAATTGGAGTGCTCATATCGATGTTTTTGTAACAAATTAGCATTTATGCTTTACGTGCTTAGAAGGTTGAAAAACATACTTAGTACGGACGTCCCAAGAAACGTCTGTTTCATATTGTTACATTCTAAAATATATAATGTAGTTACACTATGGGGAAATTGTAGCCACGCAATAAGGGTTTTCAGACTTCAAAAAAAGGCGATTAGAATTCTATTAAATCTCAGTTACCGAGTATCATGTCGACTTTATTTTTCTAGAATAGTGCCAGTACCTTCAATCTTTATATATTGTAGCTTTAATGAAATCCATAGAAATAAGACAAAATATGTTTTAAGCTCAGACATTCATAAACTTTTCTGCAAGAAATTCTAATTTCCTGAGAGTACCTCGTTATTATTTAATTATAACTAAAAATAACTCTTTAAATCCAGCAATTTACCATACACTTCCAACAAATATTCAAGCTTTGACTTTTGACTTTGTTTTAGGCTTCCGCGGGTCTTATATGTGAGTTGTAAATTCTTCCGGGTTTTACTCCGCGTCTGGTCTGGCTGCCTCCAAGTGGGGGTAGTCCTCTGCCGACAACGACGAGTTCAGACGAGAAGCAGAACGACCCGACTTGAAAATGGCAAGTGAGATCTTGCCGAAACGTTGTCAGCAGAGGACTACCTCCACTTGGAGCCAGCCAGACCAGACGCGGAGTAAAACCCGGAAGAATTTAGAACGAAAGTATCAGTTTAGTACCTTAATAGGTTAGAAAAGAATGTTACTTATCTTTTGATATATTTTTCCACAGCGACCACTAGAACAAAAAATACAATTCCAATAGGCATTAACTTTCAATTATCCAAAGTGGGGCATATTATATCAAATTATATAATTATTTAATAAATGATATACAGATGATCCAAAATAAATCAAATATTCTATCTATCTTAGTTTTAAAATATGAAAGCGTTTGGACATGGTTTGTTGTAATTTTTTAATGTTTTCTTTTATGGCACTATGTTGCTTTGCTTGTTCCCGTAAGTCTGAAATCAAAATCTGTAATTAATTGGTATTTCCTTATTATGACATGTAGTTGTGAATGTTTGTGTTTAGTGAATGAATTCTCTAAAGTTCAATACCATGACTTTCTTATATACACTTTTGCATTATATTCTTAAATATTAAAAATTGGAAGTAACAATTTTTGTTCTGATAAGCATATAGTAAGATGACTAAGGTTGCTCGAAGCAAAAATACAATTGTTTTAGGAAAAGAAGCGCGCGGTTATTAGAATTTATGTTTTCCTTTTAAAAAAAGCGGAAGCAAGCAACACTGGTAAACATCGATTTATTTCGGGCATTTATTTTCATTTTGCAGATTATTTCCGTCGTGAGGAAACCTGCGATGCGCACACCGAGGAATATGTTTATAGTCAATTTAGCGGTGGCAGATCTGTTGCTATGCACCGTCACGATGCCTTTAACCCTGATGGAAATCCTGACGAAATATTTCCCGTTGGGAAATAACCTTTTCGTTTGCAAAATCATCGGCATTTTGCAGGCCACCAGCACTTACGTTTCGACCATTTCCATTACCGCCATCGCCTTGGACAGATACCAGGTAACTTTGCAAATTTTAAAAGCAAATGTTTTTCTTTAGTACAGGGTGTTTTCTAACTTCGATTGTACAATGAGAGGTGTGAACCGTAACGTAATTCTGAGAGGTGCCAGGTGTAGTTTTCCTTCATTTTTTTTATTTATTTATATTTCCCTAGGATCTTTTATGAAAACTGTTTTTTGAATTAAACTATTAAAATGTTATTGGAAAACTAAATGCTGGACAGGTTTAATTGCTAAATTTGAAAAAATTAAATAATTTTATGAAATTAATAATAATATTAATAATAATACAGTTTTTCTCTTTATCGTACCACATAAAATACATAAAAAAACATGAGTTGCAAAAGTATGATCAATAAATCCATCAATCAATTAATTAATGAATAAATGAAAATTTGTATTATAGAGAAGTGAATTGCCCCCGCTAACTAAGAGAAACGTTAAAATATATCAATTATTGAACTTCCAACAGAAATTTCTTTAATTTTTCTTTAAATGTAAAAAATGAGTGAATTAAATTAAAATATTGTCAACATATAATGACGAGTATTATATGAGAACGATTTTTTAAATAATTGGTTTCTATGTCTTAATATTGTTAATTCGTTTTTCCCCAAATTTATAAATTTGCACATCAATGCGAAAAGGAATTTTGTTATAGAATTGATGATATCTAGCCAAATATGCCTTAGTACAATATCGTTCATTAGTGAGTAGGATGTTAAAGTTTAATTCTCTCAATTGTTGTTTCTCAATAGCTTAAGCAGTTTTTGAAATATGAAAATTTGAATTCCGCTATTTTGGTTAGTGCCGTTTCATTACTTGCTTTTGAAGATTATGATTGAATGATGATTTCTTGATAAATATATAAATACAAAATAGATGAAATATATATAAAGATAATTTGATAAAGCACACCGTTTTCGAGATATTGGTATTTTAAAAAAATTACCTCCACAAAAACCGCCCTTCTAGAACTAGTCCCATTTTCAAAATGGCCAACGGTTGGTTTTTGTCATTCAAAAATTATAGATGAATTAGAATTTTTACTCGATGTAGGTTAACAAAATGTCATGTTACTATTTACTATTACCGATATGGTTAGTAATAAATGAAGTTTTATCATGTGACAACGTTGCAACGAACAGACGCCTACGCCATTGTAGGGTAGTTGTTTAACATTCATTTTACATGCGTTTTGTACTACGCCCAAGTTTGGTTTGTTTTCGTCAGGATAGTGAGTTTTTAAAAATGAAAAACTGCGTTACGACAATAATATTAAAAAGACTGATGCTGAGAATGTCGCAGGTACGTAATTTTACTGGAAATTTGCCAATGAACAGATTTAAGTTGCTCCTCGTCAAAATAAAACATATTAACAATGTGGGTTCATTTTTCCAAAAAGTCACTGTTATAACACATTAGCGTAAGAAAGTCGTTCCAAGCATTCAAAAAGAAATAACTTGAATTTGATATTTGTATTGTAGATACGGCATTATACAAATATTATTTTATTAATTCATTAAATTTACTTTATTTAATATTACAAATTTACTGGTTGTAATACGTCTATGACAATTTTAATCTCTTACTCTCCTTTCGGAAAGTATTTTCTCATCTTTCATGGTTACCATAGTAACCATTCATATTTACGCAACACCACTCGCCGCACTCGTCCATTGCCTAAATGCATATTTTGTCAGTACAACATGAATTTTCTATAAATTTTACACCATTAAGAATTATCGTTAAGCGTTTCGTATACTGCTTTTTTGGATACAAAGCTTCCATAGTTAAACCTCAACTTCTTTCGAGGTTAATTATGTCGGTCGATAGAACGCACACGCATTCACACGTCTTGGGCAAAGTATTTTGAGCACGCTTGTTATCATTTGTTCTCTTTCGATCGATAAAGTGATACCCCATTCCGGATATTAAAGACATTCTTTCGTATGTGTCGCTTTGTAAAAGGTCGTCTGACGAGGAATACGTTCGTATGTCACGTCGATTGGTTCCTTAGAGCGAACGCTTCGACTCACGTTTCGATGTTTTGCAAAGTAACGTTCAAATTAACGAAATAACGCTTTCCATTTCTTTGCCGTATCAAAATTCGGGGTTGCAATTTCACACTCGCTTGTATTTTTGTTGCATAAATTATCTCAGTTTTGTTTAGGAGTCACTACTTGGCAAAAAACATTTTAATGAAAACACTGATGTGTATAATTCCCTAATATATCCAGGGTAATGTTGATGCCGCAACATATTAAGGCAAATTACAAAGAAATAATAAAATACAACTTAGATTATAAGTTCTGCATATTTTACATAAATTAAAACATTATTTCACAGATTTTTTGTTTGGAAATAATCATTTTAGTTTTACTTGTTTTCTTATAATAGTTCAAAATTTACCATAAGTATATATTTTAAAATCTACAAAACCAAAATTTTATTTTTTCTTTTTTTCCACGTAATAATTCCATATTTTTTATAATAATATGAATTTTTTATATTTTCCAGATTTTATATCGAAATTTTGTTTGTTGTTTAATTAAACACATATTTTTCAGAATCAACCCAAAATTTTTAATTAGGTAATAAATATTATGATTGATATTCTTATATGTTAAAGAAAAAATTGTTCTATTTCAATTAAATTTTGAATCGCTTTAAAATTGAGAATTTCGAGGAAAATATCAAATTGCAACATTTTTAAATTGTGTTTAAAATAAGGAAAAATTGAAAATTCTCACTAGGACTTAAATAATGTTTGCCGCACTAATATTGTTATTTTTAGTGCCTTTTTTCCGGTGCGCATAACATATCATATATTTATACTTTGTAAGTTGATCTGAGGACCTATATACTTAGCAATTATGATATAAATTCGTGTTTGTTAATAAATATAACTTCAAATCATCGAGAGTGTTAAGCTCAGTTTTTTAAGTTCACCTAAGCATGGATCACGATTGAAGCTGTAAGTTTACATTTCAGCTTAATTACCGCTTACATAATCGAATTAATAACGGGCGTACATAAATAAAGCGTCTCTTTCTTAGTTTATAGGAACTATCGGGACAACAATGTGTTATGCGAATATGCTTTGGCGTCATATAGAATGCTATAAATGCATTTTTGAAAGTTAATCATCAATTGTTAAACTATTTATTTATTAAATTTAATTTATCAAAGCTACATAATATCTGGCAAATGTTTAAAAATTCTGCTGGAAAATTAAGGTACATACGTGATATTTATAATCGGCCAAGTTCCCGTGCCTATACAAATTTACATTTTAGTACATTTTATGCAAAAGTTTTTGAGTTATTTGCTTGGGATTTTGTGGACATGAATAACAAAACGAGTTGATTTACAAATGTTGCCGGATTAATTGCGAAAATCCCTTTATAATCTGCCAAACAGATTCGGCTTCAGGATTAGAACAGCAGCGGATAGCAGATTAAATTTTAAAATGACGAAACATTCATCGGAATAAAAGATCATGCTGGTAGACAACTTTTTAGAATTAAATGTGGAAAAGTTGGAAAAAATAATCCCAGCGTTATCTGTCTAAAAAACTTTGTTCAGTTGATTAGTTTCAGACCATATGTCCTTTCGCATGACTAGTTAATTACAGTAACAAACAAATAACTTTTTATGAAAACTGAATCCTATGGGTTTATTTAGGTGACATACTTTTTACAAAACTTCGTCATTCCTCCTGCGTCAGTTTTTGCTGAGTCTAACTTGCTGACGTTTCGCTTTTTTTTGGCTTCTTCAGAGCTTGACTGAAACTGGCTCGCATTTTACTCTGTACCTGCTTATATATTGTTTGAGGGGGGAGGAGCTAAATGAGGGGAATAAACACCGTCTCGGATGACTGATTCCCATATTGGTGACGGGTAGAGACCTAAGTCGCGGTTAAGATTGTTAGGTTGTTTATAGAATTCTATAGACTCTCGGACTTTTCGTTGGTAGAAGAACTGATTACATGCAAGAATTTCAGTTCTATCGAATAAAATTTTATGTCCGGTTTCATGAGTGTGTTCGGCAGCAGCTGATGAGTTTATTTGTCTTAGTCGCAAGGCTCTTTCATGTTCTTTGAGCCTAGTTGATATTTTTCGTTCGGTCTCTCCAATGCATTCTTCACCGCATATGCATGGAATGCTGTAAATTCCTGGCATCTCAAATGGAATTTTGTCTTTGACGGACCGAAGAGATTGAGAGATTTTTGGACAAGTAAAGGTAAATCTGGTTTTGACGGTATACTCCTTTAGAACTTTTGAGATGTGGTCAGTGATGTTTTGAATGTAGATTAGATTAGATTAACAGTTGGGAGAGCCAGCAGTCAGCCTGTCCGTCACTGCGACCCAGAGGATCTATTGCTATAGGGCTTTATCCATTTTCGTCTCTCTAACCAGACTCCACAACTTCGATAATGGCTCCCTCGTATAGCTCTCTACCTCTGGTTTGGTATCGCCCAGCAGATGGAAACGCACTCTGGCTAGGCCTTCGCAGTGACACAGTACGTGTGCGGCTGTTTCCTCCTCTTCGTGACAGAATCTACATTCTGTGTTTTCTTCCACTTCCATCAGGCTTATATGCCTCTTAAGTCTGCAGTGACCCGTCAGCAGACCTACAATTATTCTTACGGCTTTTCTATTGTAGCTTAGTAGGTCCGCTGTAAAATTGGCCGATGGGCCCCTTAGGAATTCCTTGGCCTGTCTTTGCTCCGGCATGTCCCTCCACCATCGTCGGGATTCTCGGTCTATCCAATCCCTGATGGCTGTTTTTCCAACGGGTTTGGCCACCCCACAACAGGGTTCTGGTCCAATCAGGTGCATTGACGACCCTTCGCGGGCTGCGTCGTCTGCGCCTTCATAACCTTTATGCCCTCCGTGCCCCGGTACCCATGATAGACTAACTTTGTTCTGGTTTGCTATCTCGTTTAATGCCTTATGGCAGTCCAGAACTAACTTGGAAGTTATTTTATTAGATTGC